GAATCGTCTGCAAAAAGGGCCTAGAAAGCAAAAAGTGTGGTGCCCACAACTCCCCTTGCAGACAACACCTTTTGTGGGCAACTCCGTTGTGGGTTTGCGAGCTTCGGGCTGGAGGCGCGCTCGCCCGAGAACGTGGTGAAGGCCGGCTCCGGGCGGGACAAAAGGGCGGGGATCGTGAGGGGGCTCCTGCGGAGCCCCTTCATGAACACAGCCGCCCTTTTGTCCTCGCCCTCCGCACGGCCTTCCCCACGTCCTCGACCTCGCTGCGCCTCCACCCCTCGCTCGCGGCTTCTGCAAAAATTAATCTTGGGGGTTGCCCAACTCCGAGTTGCCGGTTCGTGGGGTGCCCACAACTCCGGCTGCGTGCAACACCTTTTGAAATAATTAATTTTTCGTGCGTCGCGCCTCCTATAAGCATGCGTCGCGCCTCCTATAAGCATGCGTCGCGCCTCCTATAAGCATGCGTCGCGCGTACTATAAGCATGCGTCGCGCGTGCTATAAACATACGTCGCGCCTGCTATAAGGGTGCGCACGGCCCTCCGGAGGTCATCTTGCCACATTCTGAACCCATCCCAAGGGCCCCTATTCTTCCTAGCAGTCCCCTAAATTGAGATTGTATTAAAAGAATTGCGTCGCGCATGCTATAGAGGTTTCCGTGGTAATCGGGAAATAAAATCGGTTTACTTAAAAATTACACCGCCACCAGTATTGTACGCGCGACGTAAAACCATTATTGTATGCGCGACGTAAAACCACTATCGAACGCGCGACGTGATACTTTTACATGGGAGCATAAGTGCTGCCAACTTATGAAAAAACACGTCGCGCGTACTATAACATTACCCTTCTATTTGTTATTTTAAAATGATAATAATATAAATAAGTTGCAATTTACTTATTCATTTTCTTCAATTTGGTAATTCATTAAGATAAATTTAATAAAAATCATGTGTTTAAAAGAATTTTTCATAAAAAAAAACTGTGTCTCGACATATATTTTTAATCCTTATTTATTTGATTTTCCGGAAGCAAACTAGGAAAAATTCAATTGGTTCCCAAATAAATTGATAGAAAAAAAATTATTTTTGCATCTTCTGCAAAAGGAAATGAGCGTCTGCGTGGAGCAATCTCGTTTTATGGCTCCACCTTTGTTATTCCATTAGCGTCGGACGAACTTGGACCGTGAAGCTGCGTGCAAGTAAAACGATTGCAGCAGAATATAATGTGATAATATAAAAGCATCGAGCAAAATAAGAAGCAGAGAGAGAGACAAGGTCACCACGCGACATGCTAATAACTTCTTTAGATCTCGTAATGTATGGACCGAATGGAAATAAAATTAATGTGAGAGACGGTAATGGTTTGCAATGCCAATTGGTATGCGCACTCGCAGCACAATGAGAGTCAAAGGGGAATGCATTCTGATTTTTTTTTTTTTGCCAACTACAATTTGCTGAACGCACTTACATAATGGGAATGTGTTTAAGTGCATTTAACAAATGGGAAAAGAATTGATTTAATGAATTAATTTTCTCAAAAGAGAACAAAAGGATTTATTTTATTCAATGTAAAACGCACAAGTTTTAAAAGATTGAAATAAAAAACCTATTTTATTATTAAGTGCATGATGGAAATATTATTAACTCCAAAAGTGGAAAGATAAAACTGTTTTAAAAATCACAATCACTTCTTTGTCCTATTCAATTTGATAATTGACCTTTTTCACCCTGCAGGAACCAAAAAACATCTTTTTGGGTTAAATTGAAGTTAAAATCAAATTTTTTAAGACATTATGTTTTGGAACAGAATTTGCAGCTGCAATAATAACGCAAATTAAATTTGTTAAAATTTTTCTTATTTATTGTGAAAAAATTAAAAAAAAAAATCATCTATTTTCAGCGTTAACAAATGTTTAAAATCAAATATCGTCTCATTTTGTGTTCATTTTTAGAGAACTTTAGTTCCAAAGTGTCTTTATTGATTGTATCATAAGGCAATTACTGCCCAGGTACATCAATACATACATTCAAAGAATAATTTATCAATTTACATAATAAAGAGGGGAATATTATCTTAAAAAATCACATCAATCAAAAAAATATTACATCAATTGCATATTTAACAATGAGAATAAAGGGAGTTTTGAAGGAAAGGAATTATATAGGATGAGGTATGACTGGAGACCACCTTTTGACTGACACTAGTGCCCCAAGCATGCTTGATTTTAATCTTTATCAAGTTCTTTGACGCTTTTTCTTTAAGAGCACCTAATAAAGACAATCATTTGTTTAGGACTTGGTCTCCGCAATTCTCTTTTCTTTGTCTTTTATCTTATTCCAATAATATTTAACTTTATCACATTAATATTTACATTTTTGATATATATTTCTATGAAAATTATAGCAGTAAGTTTTATAAAACTTGAAACGAGATAAAATGAAATTATATGTATTGACCGTTTCTTGTCCAGGGGCAGCCATCGTAAATCGGTATTACGCCTTGGCTGCAAAAAAGAACTTGTATAAGGTCCGAGCAAAGCTGCTTTACAGGGCCAGGGCGAGTGTCGTGTTGCCGGAGTGGAGGCCGCGCGAATGATACATAAGAAGCATTAAAATAAAGCATTGTACGCGAAGGCGCGACACACCCACACTATACACCAGATTGAAATAAATTACTCGCCGTGGCCGCGGCGATATACACGCGAAATTATTATTTGCGCTCGCTCTCGAAAGTGTGTGTGTATATCGGGTTTACACTACTTATATCAAAAGCTGCAGCGCAGTATTGTGTGTCGGGGCAGTTTGCGGGATGCACGAGCAACGCCCTGCGCGGATCATGTAGCACCAATTAATTACGTACGGCGGGTCGTGCGGCGGCGTCCGCAGAACACCGATCCGCCTTGTCGCCCGCAACCTCGACGCCGGACACAAAAATATACATACGTGTGTCGCCGCCACACGCGTGCTTGCAGTTTTCGCCAAGGGACGCAGAAAGAAAATAATTTTGACGGTTTATTAACCTCTGAAAATTAAACTGCAAATTAATAGGAAAAAATATTTGAACTTTGAGAAATCATTTGACCAAAATAAAAGATTTTAAAAATGACAATTTTATTATAATAAATATTAGTTTATATTTTTAATATAAAACATGTAAAGAATTTAAACTTTAAATAAAAAATTTTATTTTTTATAGTTTATTTTAATATTAAATTTTATAGCCAAATTTATCATATTATATGTATTAATAAAGTTGCAACATTGGTACCGTTTAATTTTAAAAATGCAGTAAAGAGATAAATCAATTAAGTTATAAAAATTCACTGATGCACAATAGACTTATCATCTTTTCATGAAAATGTAGTTGTTCAACACCCTCCGCATTATTTTTTTACTCTCGACATTATATTTATGTTATTATTATTATTTATTCTTCTCGGTCAATACAAAAATTTTAAATTGGAAAAAAGAGAAGAAAGGGTTTACAACTATGGAATTTAATTTATAGTTGGATCGGAATTAATAATTAAACTTAATATGAAATATCTACACACTAATAAAATTGACTCGACAAAAATTACTCAATAGCTAAGAACAGTTCTGATTTTGAAGTGAACTGAAAAATTTGAGCAAATTCAACCTGTTGTGGCAAATTAGAAATAAAATTATGTAGAAAAATACATTTAAATCATTTCAAAAGTGAAGAATAGAGTGTTAAAAGCTTATTTGGCCTAAATAGCTGCTGCGGAAATACCAACATATTTTCTTTCCTCTCGTATATTGTTAAATTAGTAACTTTTGACTAATCGCCTTTACGTGCTGGATACGTTTCGCGTTTGAGACTTTTTTAAATATGCAAACATCTTTTTAAAATATATTCAAGCTAATGTATGATTTTCGCGTGCTGCTATTGTATAGCCAAAAAATTACTGAATAATGAACGCAGATCTCGAAACTGTTATAATTATTCTAAAAAAATTAAGGCATCCTGCTTAAATTAATAAATTTTTATCCCTTTTTTAGTTTACCATATCAATAGGACTTATAGGACTCTATGCATGCATCTTAAATTATGTTACATTATTTAACATTTATTTCTGTCCGCAGACAAGAGAGAGACAGAGAGCGGTTGAGGTTTGGATAAAATCTTGCGCCGAGTGCCAAGACGAGTATTTTAATGCCGAGACGCAGAAGGTGTTATTTGCATAGCATCAGACGAATGTAATTACACAGTAGCAACTTATATATGGATGAAAAATTGCCACTGTCACGCCGGAGACAGAAAAAAAACGCGAACAAAAAGCCACAAATCAGCTTCGGAGAGATAATTACCTCGAGATAATTTGCTCAACTACTTTCTGATGATGAGAGACGCTGAAGAGTCCTTTTTAATTTTAATTAATGAATTTCATGTTGTAAAAATTTGCTGAAAACTTTTTACGAATTAAAATAATTAAATCGTTAATTAATATTATTAAATAATTAAATTTTGAATTAAAAATTAAAGAAAATATGAAAAAGAATAAAAAACGGGAGCTTAATCACATTAGAGTGGATAAGGAAAAATTATTTAGGACTTAGTTTTAAGCAACATCTCAAAATTGCATAGGTATAAAAAATATGAACTATTAGGATTTATTTATTATTTATTTTTTTAAATTTATTAAATTTTGGTAACATGACAAAGCTAATTGTTTATCCTTTTGCCCACAAAAACCACAATTATATAAAAGAGGGCACGGGAAAAGTCTGTTTATATCAAGAATTTCTCCTCGTGTGCCAATTTTTTCCGATATATCTTAAAAAATCGTTGTTTTTGTTTACAGCGCAAACGATTCAATTTTCTAGGTCGAGCAAATAGAATATCAATCTCATCGCAAGTGAACAATAAACAAACATATTTGTTTTTGCCACACCGAGAGGGAAACTGAAATAAAACCAGACAATGCCACAAGAGAGAAGCACGAGTATCTCGGCGGCCTTTTATCTCGAAAGACGCACAAAGAGCATGACCGAGCGCGGGTTGAGTCGGGCCGAGGTGCAGCTGGTGCTGCGGACGGCGCTGAAAAAAGACGCCGTCCGCGTGTTGGACTTCAAAGAAGAGGGCGTCGGCGCCAATGTGGGCTTCATGGGGGAGCACAACACCCTCACCGTGCACTACTCGGAGCAGGAAAGCGAAAATTCAGAAATTTCGTTTTTCCTGAAACGACTTCCGGCGGGCGAGCGTTTCCGGACGTTCGTCCTCGAGCACGGACTTTTCGCCAAGGAAAAGGAAATGTACGAGAAACTGGTGCCGCTGATGGAGAGGAGTCTGCGGCGGAAGATGCCGGTGGCCGATTGTTACCTGGTGCGAGACGACAGCGGCTACGTGATTCTGCAGGACTTGCAGAGAATGGGCTATAAATTGTGGGACAAGTACGCGTTGCTGGGCCGGCGACAGGTGGAGGCGGCCGTGAGGGCGGTCGCCGCGCTGCACGCCGGCTCGCTGGCCGCCGAAGCCACCAGCGGCAAACTGATGCCCCGCATCGCCGACCATTGCCTCAAAGAGGCCCTAATTGCCGATAACACGTCCGATAACGTCGTCTCGCGGCAGTGGCACTTCTCAACCTGGAAAACGTGCTGCTCGCTGCTCGGCAAAATGCACAACTTGAAAGTGGACGAAGAGAAAATGCACGTCGCGTGGGAGGAAGCAGCCTGCGTCGCCGCCGGCTTCTCCGCCAAGTACCGAAATGTGCTGTCGCACGGTGACCTCTGGGTCAACAACGTCCTCTTCAACGACCACGCTGACGGCGTCGACGCAGTTCTGGTCGATTTTCAAGTTTATCGATACGCGCCGCCCGCACTTGATTTGCTCACGTTGCTGCACCTCACAACTTCCAGGGACTTCCGAGCACAACACCAGGATGATTTGATCGAATTTTACATTCGTCAAGTTGATGATTTTTTAAAGGCGGCCGGACTGGATAGAAAAACTCTTCTGCCAGATTTCGCTGCACAGACGCACCAAAGCTTCGAAGAGTTTGAAATTTTTGGAGCCGTGATGGCAGCAAGGTGCACTTTAATATCAAATCTCTATTATTTTTTCAATTTTTTTCTTATTTTAGATATATACCGATTTGTTTGAAGCAAGGGTTGATTGATCCGTCGCAAGCGCCGAGCTTCACCTCAAATGAAAAATATGCAACCAAAGAGTTTGCCGTGGACCAATCTGACGCACTGATCGCCGCTTTCGGCCGCGGCCCCATTGGAAGGGTCTTTGAAGAGCGCGTGTTGGACACATTAAATTGTCTTGTTGATGCTCTCAAAATTAAATTAAATGAAAGGCGGAATATTTAAAAAAAAAAAAATAAATAAATAAACATGTCTTTGCTTCAATTCACTTTTTTATGTGTGATTGTTTTTTAAATAAAAATTTGGTACATAAGTTAGATTTTAATTCTGCTTGTCAGTAAGTTTGATTTAAGTTTCCAGTTATCAATTTACAAAAATTTTGCTTATTCATAAAATTTTAAAAAAACATACTTTTCATAAAAACAGGTATAAAAATTTTTTTAATCATTATTTAACAAACTTTTAGCTACATTTATAAAATTTATTATTTTATTGTTAATAAAATTTTATTTAATAAATATTTTTAATTAAAATAAAACAGATTTATTACATTTACTTAGTAATTTATTATATTTTATTATCTTAGTTTAAATGCAATTAAAATTAATATAAACATACCAAACCCAGTTGAGCACTAATTAAATTAGCAAAATACTAATCGTTAATGCTCGTAACGGATTTAAATATTATATTTGTTTGTATTATGTATAATGATGAGAATTAATGAGAAAAATGAAAGATTATTATGATAAGAAAAATTAATTTGCCACATTCCAACAACACAAACCAGCAATGCACAACAGCCTTTTTCTATTAGCCAAAAATGGGGAATGGGCCCATAAATTATATCGTGAACAAACAAATAAAAGCACAATCACGACTGCAAAACTGCTGATAACAGCTTTTTAAACATTGAGATACTTTTGGTCCACAAGCAGTTGCGATGGAGAGCCAAAAACAAGCGTTCTTGAGTGCGAGTGAAGTGCAAAGTGCCCTTAAAAAGGCCGTCGGACCAAACGTGACCCTGAAGGGCTACACCCTGAAGCCTGTCAGCGGCACCGTAAAGGTCGGATTCACGGGCGAGCACTTCATCGTTCAGGTGGAATACCAGGAGAGCCGCATTTCCTACCAGGCCACCAGCAGGACCAGTTTCTTCGTCAAGCGCATTCCGGACGCAAAAACAAATTGCGACTTCATTTTCGAAACCGGGCTTTATGCCAAGGAACGCGAAATGTACGAAAAACTATTGCCAATGATGTGCAAAGCGCTCAAAGTGCCAAAACTACCAGTTCCGGACTGTTTGATCATCTGCGATGAAAATTATTTTGTTTTTGAGGACATGCTTAGGGCAGGGTACAAGCTAAGGGACAAGAACCAGTATCTGGAAATGGCCGAATGCAAGGCCCTGATCGAGGCCGTCGCCCTGCTGCACGCCGGCAGCGTCGCCATCGAAGCGAAAACCGGCAAAATGATGGCCTTCCACATGAAAAACCACCAAGAGGTGGTGATAAAAAAAGAAAATACGGCTGCTGTGGACATCGCAGGCTCTTGGCACGCGGCCAGCCTGGCTTCCACCCTGGGACTTATTTTAAAAATGGACGAGTTCAAAGGCAAAGTGGCTCAGGTGCCAAAAGAAAAACTGGTACAGAAATTGAGCAAAGCGTGGGACGACAGCGCCGAAATGGCCTCGGGTTTTTCGTCGAAATTTGCAAACGTTTTGTCGCACGGTGACCTCTGGCTGAACAATATGCTTTTCAAGGATGACCCGAACGGACAGGTCAAGGCAACATTGATCGACTTTCAAACATACAGATACGCGCCTCCAGTTTTGGACATTTTGAGTTTCCTCCATTTGACCACGAGTCGCAAGTTCCGGTGGAACCATCAGTCGGAATTGCTCAAATTCTACCACTCGACTCTGGTGAAAATTCTGCTCAAGGCGAATGTCAATCCAGATTTGGCGCCTTCACTCGAGGAATTGGAGAAATCTGCGTTTAGCTTGCGTCTCTTCGGGATTGCCATTGCAGCGAGGTGATATTAAATTTTTATTTTTTATTTATTAATATGTTAAGAGTAATTAGACTTGCAAAAAGGTTTCTAAAATTAAAATCCAATGCGATCTTAGATCTTACTTTATATATAATATTGCACTAAACGGTAGTCGGATAAACTAATTATGCCATGTTATAATTGTTGTAAATTATAAAATCCTTCTATTACAGGGGTTTTTTTGCACATTTGTGTCAATTAAGGTTAGTTCTACTGTCATAAAAACCATCAAATCAATTTGATTTCCTTTTCTATAAAATAAAAAAGTTTATATATCTTTTAATTGACTATAAATCTACTGTAATCAAATACACTTAAGTTTCACTAAAAATATTACTTAATGGCAAAAAAAAACTTCATTTTTATATGAAAACTCCTAATTAAAACCCAATTTTATAAAATTTTGCAGTAAGAAAATAAAGAAACTAACTTATTTTATTTAATTTAACTTCATCAAAATTAAAATCACATTCTTGTATGGCGAAAAACTTTTTTTTTCATTCTAGTTTCCATGAGTTTCCATAATCGTTTATTTTTCACTTTAGCATGAAGTATTTTGCTAAATGATTAGATTAGCGCTCAGATTAGGGGTGCGGATTTCTTGATTTAAATATTACAAAATCCGGCACTAATTTTAATATTTTGTTGAGATTTAAGACTAGAATTCAATTTCATAAATATGTTTCAAGGTACATGCCAACAGCACTGAAAACTGAATTTACGCCAGCGGAGCAGCAATTGAGTGCCGCTGAAAAAGATGGGATACCTCAGGAATATATTCGAGACAGCTCCGACTTAATTATCCATTCGTTCGGAAGATCGCCGACGATGAAAACCAGAGTGGCCGAGGCTATTGAAGAGCTTATTGATTTTCTTGAGCTCTAAAAGAAAAGATTATCAACCTGATTAGACTTAAATAAGTAAAAAGCAGGGAATATTTCTGATAAGGCTTTTATTGTAGACCAATATTTTTAATTATCATATCGTGAAAAAATTCAAAATTGCTGCAATTATAAATATATATTTATATTTTACCTTCAAAACGTATTGTTGCCGGTGGGTCCTCTATAAAATGGCTACAGGTTAATATAGAGTTGGCACTTTTCTTGTCGTTTGTAGATTAACCGCGGCGGCCCAAGTCTCTTTTGATATCGGGCGTTTTAGCCAACATTTGCTAGTTTTAAATTCTCTCTTCTGTTTTACAAATTTATGTATCAACTGAGAAATATAAATAATAGTGATTGATAATTTATCGCCAGCACACTTCTTATGTCATATGAACACATATTGTCGGCAAATTATTATTGGCTACTCTAATTTTCATAATTACAAAGGTTAAACAAAACCTAGTCTAATGCAAATTGATTATACTTAACTAGATTAAAGCAGCAATTTCATGATTTAATTATTATTTATCAATATTCTATTAAATATCAATAATGAATAAAATGACAAAGAAGGATGAGGAATATAAAGGGCATGAAAACAAGCAAATATATGTAAATGTAGCTAAATGCTTGCCATCTAAAGAGATACAGCCGCCGCAGAGAACACAGATTAATAGAATAAGCTAAAATTTTAAATTTAAATAATAAACAATGTTTTAAAGTAAAAAAAAAAATATAAAAATTAAATTTTTATTTCAATTTTAAATAAGACAAATTAAAAATTTTAAATGAGTTCTATTTAGATTGTTTTTTAAAAGAAATGAGATTAATTCTTATAACTTTATTTTGAGCTTTTCTCGAGTTTCAATTTTTTATTTGTAGACATTTAAAAATAAAAAATTTAAGTTTTCCACTATATGGCGTTATGTAAACTTGAAATAATTAATAATTATATTTAGCTATTTTTAGACTCCAGTAAAGGATAAGTTAATGTAGCTGATGTGTAAAAAGTTTAAAGTAAATTAAATTTTCTAAATACAAAATTAATACAAACAAGCGTTCCACTGGAGTCTTTATTTTATTAACAAGCGATTGCAAATGAGAGCTCATAAATTATTTCAGGACGATAAACAAATAATGAAAAGCACAATCTCTAGTGCGAAACTGTGATAACAACTTTTTGCACACTCATATCTCAACTTGGTCTACAAGCAGTTGATAATATGGAGAGCCCGAAACAGGCATTTTTGAGTGCGAGTGAGGTGCAAACTGCCCTTCAAAAGGCCGTCGGACCGAATGCGACCCTGAAGGGCTACACCCTGAAGCCCGTTTCACAAAAGGTCGGATTCATGGGTGAACATTTCAACGTGCTCGTGGAATATCAGGAGAGCCGCATTTCCTATCAGACCAGTTTCTTCGTCAAACGCGTTCCGGACGCAAAATTGCTTCGTGACTTTATTTCAAAATTCGGGCTTTTTGCCAAGGAACGCGAAATGTACGAAAAACTATTGCCAATGATGTGCAAAGCGCTCAAAGTGTCAAAACTTCCAGTTCCGGACTGTTTTATAATCAGCGATGAAAATTATTTACTTTTTGAGGACTTGCTTCGGGCAGGGTACAAACTGAGGGACAAGAACCAGTATCTGGAAATGGCCGACTGCAAGGCCCTGATCGAGGCCGTTGCCCAACTGCACGCCGGAAGCGTCGCAATTGAGGCCAAAACTGGCAAAATGATGGCCTTCCATATGAGAAACTATGACAAAGTGGGCAAAGCAAATGAAAAAAGCGACGATCTGGACATCGCAGCCTCTTGGCACGCGGCCAGCCTGGCTTCCACCCTGGGACTTATTTTAAAAATGGACGAGTTCAAAAACAGGGTGGCTCAGGTGCCAAAAGAAAAACTCCTGCTGAAATTGAGCAAAGCGTGGGACGACGGCGCTGAAATGGCTTCTGGATTTTCGTCAAAATTTGCAAACGTTTTGTCGCACGGTGACCTCTGGCTGAATAACATGCTTTTCAAGGATGACCCGAGCGGACAGGTCAAGGCCACATTGATCGACTTTCAAACTTACAAATACGCGCCTCCGGTTTTGGACATTTTGAGTTTCCTCCATTTGAATGCGAGTCGCAAATTCCGGCAGAACCATCAGTCGGAATTGCTCAAATTCTACCACTCGACTTTGGTGAAAATTCTGCTCAAGGCGAATGTTAATCCCGATTTGGCGCCTTCTCTCGAGGAATTGGAAAAGTCTGCGTTTGATCTGCGTCTAGCAGGGATCTTCATTGCAGTGAAGTATAATAAAAAATAACTCATATAATAAAAAATATAAAAAATATAAATAAAACTGAAAATATATTATAAAATTTAAATTATTAACGCCAGCCATGAGCAAGGAATTTTAAAAGCAGATTAAGTTTTATTTCTGATGTCAAATGAATTTCAAGCTAAATTGCCTATCCAGAGCCTAATGCTTAAAAATGGGGTTTGTTCGGAACTCAATTGAATTGGAGAGAATATTCAAAGTTGCTCTTTCCTGTCCCTCGCTGGATTAGTTGTGAAATTTAACAGTAATTTATAGAACTAACTAATTAACAAAATGTTAAATAACAAGACCGTCTGTCAAAGGGCGGCTAACTAATTTGTGTGAAGTAATAATAGTTTTAATTGACGATGACTCATATTTGTCTGAATCTGTAGTATATTAAATATTTTATTTATATTTATTTTTTTAAAAGCCAGTATGCAATCAAATACACTGAAGTTTTACAAAATTCATTTAAAATTTTATAAAATTTTAATAATTAAAATAATTACCTAATTTATAAACATAAATAATAGAATTTTTTTATGAATCAAAACAATTTAATTTAAATTTTATTATAAAAAAATTTTAATTAAACATAAATGTATTATTAACTTTTTTTATATTTTTCCTTGTCCAAGCTTAAATCACATACTTGTGTTGCGAAAAGCTCCTTTTGCAACTTCTCAGTATTCTAGTTTCCATCAAGTTTATTTACCACTTTCACAGGTTTTTTATATTGAAAAATTATTAGATTAGGGGTGCGGATTTTTAATTTTAATATTTCAAAATCTGGCATTAAATTTCATATTTCCTCGCATTTTTGTATAGAATTTTATTTCATGAATATGTTTCAAGGTACATGCCAACAGCGCTGAAAACCGAAGTTACGCCAGCGGAGCAGCATTTGAGTGCCGCCGAAAGAGATGGAATACCTCAGGAATATATTCGAGACAGCTCCGACTTAATTATCCAATCGTTCGGAAGTTCGCCAACGATGAAGACGAGAATGACTGAGGCCATTGAGGAGCTTATTGATTTTCTTGATCTATAAAAGAAAATATTCTGCACGAGATTATTTTATCGTACCTGATACATTTGATTAAAATTAAAATTCGTGATTATCGTCAAAATTTCTGCAAATTATTATATTCATCATCCTCGTGCTATTTTATTTTTCTTCAAAACGTATTATTTCCTGATGGTCTATACTTTATAAAGAGGTTGATAAATGATAAGAGTTTATTCTGTTTTCGTCGTTTATCTCCGATTCTGCATGTTTTATGAACTCTAATTAAATTTTCTCAATTAAAAATGTAAAATAACTATAAATTTCGCCCTTAAAATATAATTAGCCTAATCTGCAATAAACCACAAATTTTGTGATTATTTAGTTACTATTTACGATTCTGTTAAATATCAATAATGAATAAAATGATAATAAAATGAGAAATAAAAATTGAATTAGCAAATATATTATGTTATTTATGTTCAAATAGCTTTTTTTAATTTAATTCATTCATTTGATTCGTTTGAGCTGTTAAAGGGAGAAAATAATTTGAGCAATTCGCAGCCAATGATCAGATGTAAAATATCAAACAAACTCAAGTTGGCCGAGTAAATTATGAAATGAACAAACCCAAACAAATATATCAAAGTGCAACCGCAAGATAATAACTTTCAAACAATGAGAAATAGCTCGGCAGTCGCGATGGAAAGCCCGAAACAAGCGTTCTTGAGTGCAAGTGAGGTGCAAACTGCCCTTCAAAAGGCAGTCGGACCGAATGCGACCCTGAAGGGCTACACCCTGAAGCCCATCAACGGAGGCGAAAGGGTTGGGTACTTTGGAGAGCACTTGATCGTCCAGGTGCAATACCAGGAGAGCCGCATTTCCCATCAGACCAGTTTCTTTGTCAAACGCGTTCCCGAAGCAAATTCTTTCCGCTCCTTTATTTCAAAATTTGGTATTTTCGCCAAGGAGCGCGAAATTTACGAAAAACTGTTGCCGATGATGTGCGATGCGCTGAAAATAATGAAATTACCGGCCCCGGATTGTTTGATTATCTGCGATGACCAATACCTGGTTTTTGAGGACTTGCTGAGGGCAGGGTATAAAATGAGGGACAAAAACGAGTACCTGAAATTGGCCGATTGCAAGGCCCTGATCGAGGCCGTCGCCCAACTGCACGCCGGCAGCGTCGCCATTGAGGCAAAAACCGGCAAAATCATGGCCTTCCACATGAAAAACCACCACGAGGTGCTGTTCGTTAAGGAAAAAAGGGCTGACCTGGACATCGCAGCCTCTTGGCACGCGGTCAGCCTGGCTTCCACCCTGGGACTTATTTTAAAAATGGACGAGTTCAAAGACAAAGTGGCTCAGGTGCCAAAAGAAAAACTTTCACAAAAATTGAGCAAAGCTTGGGACGACAGCGCCGAAATGGCCTCGGGATTTTCGGCAAAATTTACAAACGTTTTGTCGCACGGAGACCTCTGGCTGAATAACATGCTTTTCAAGAACGAACCGAGCGGACAGGTCAAGGCCACATTGGTCGACTTTCAGAACTACAGATACGCTCCTCCAGTTTTGGACATTTTGAGTTTCCTACATTTGACTACAAGTCGCAAGTTCCGGCAGAACCATCAGTCGGAATTGCTAAAATTCTACCACTCGACTTTGGTGAAAATTCTGCTCAAGGCGAATGTTAATCCCGATTTGGCGCCTTCTCTAGAGGAATTGGAAAAGTCTGCGTTTAGCTTGCGTCTCTTTGGGATTGTCATTGCAGTGAGGTAATAATTAAAATACATAATTAACATCAATGAAATAAAATAAATTATTTGAATTAAATTTGAAATTAAATCACTTTCAACACCACCTCCAATAATTAAGTCTACATGAGAGCAATAAAAATTCATGATTTCTAATGGGAAAAGTATCTAAAGATTGAAGTCAATCCAGCACAAGTTAAATATATCAAAATTTATAGGGAAATTCCTGCAATTTACTTCGTTTTTAAAAATCAATTTGAAAAAAAAATAATTTTTCAACGTAATTAAACTCCCACTTAAATACCCCTCGTGTTTTATTAAATATCTTCCAATCTGAAATGATAAAGAATTATTTTGTTCACAACAGATTTAGATAAAAATAATCTATTTCTGCTGCTATTAATTTGATGAAATGATGAGCGCTTATTTTGAAAAAAAATATAAACATTGATATGTATATATAACCAAAAAACTAATAAAATTTTGTTTCTTTTTTGTGTCTTTTTTGCTTATTAAATTTGAAATATTATAAGTTATCAGGTCATTGTGAGTGAACTTATTCACTGCAATCTTCCGAACGCAAATAATAATTAAAATTAAAAATCATTGCTAGAGATAATTTTAGTCACCTGCAGAGACTGTAATATATAATCTTGCCAAAATTTAATTTCATAAAATTATATTTCAAGGTACATGCCAACAGCGCTGAAAACTGAATTTACGCCAGCGGAGCAGCAATTGAGTGCCGCCGAAAAAGATGGAATACCTCAGGAATATATTCGAGACAGCTCCGACTTAATTATCCGATCGTTCGGAAGTTCGCCGACGATGAAGACGAGAATGACTGAGGCCATTGAGGAGCTTATTGATTTTCTTGATCTATAAAAGAAAATATTCTGCACGAGATTATTTTATCGTACCTGATACATTTGATTAAAATTTAAATTAATGAATCCTCAAAATGTCTGCAATTTATACATTCATCATCCTCATGCTATTTTATTTTTCTTCAAAACGAGCGGCCGAGGCTATTGAGGTGCTTATTGATTTTCTCGAGCTGCAGAGGAAAGATTCCCCAGCACGTGACGAGTTGTAAATGAACTTTAAGCGTTTGGCTTGTGTGTATAAAAAGCAATTAAACGCGCCGAGATAAACTTGCACGAGAGTTCATTACACGTGAGTGGAAACTTTCCCAAGACATATGTTACCAGCAAAATTAATTAAAAAGCTCCACATTTCTGGAAATTTTAAGACGTTTTATTCCCTTCTGCCTGCAATTTTTTCATTCGAGATTCAATTAGCGAAGCTTTTCTCCGCCATCTGCTGTCCGCAAAGTCGCGAAAAAAATATCTTCTGCCAAATTACAACAGAATATATACGACACGTCTGCTCCCCCTTTTGTTAATATGAAAATTTTGAGGTGTACAAAATCTGTTCGTGGACCATAAAAAACGAGCGGGCGAGGGTTCAGTCACATCTAATAAAACGCGGAGAGATCGCAATCTCTGTTTGATAGTCGTCCTTTGGCTCGGCTCGGGTTTCACGAGCCAAGAGATGATAAAAACCCGGTTGTCAACTGTGGTCCGTTCGAATCCTTCGGCTTGACATGCGATCACTTTTTCTCGCTAATTCGCTCACTTGGGCAACAGTTTCAACGTCACTGAGCACGAGGATGAATAATTCAATTAAAAACACCTGCGGACGAAGCAGATTTTTCAGACTATCCACCCAATAATAAAATTCTGGCGAAATTTTATAAGACACTTTTTATTATATTTTGTATATAAGAGTTGATAGTTTGAAAATGTGCTCTTTTCATAAAAAAATTCCATTTAAAAATTAAAATTTTTAGCACACTGGGTTTTAATTAAGTTTTTATTCTGGTCAATTTAAGTATTAGCCCATTAATTTTTAAACTTGGAATGACAATTTCTGCTAAAATCTAGACTTCATTATAATATTTTGCCGAAGAATCAAAAGAGATTTATTTTATTTGTTGATTATATATATAAATTAACAATTATCATTTAATCCAAAACAGCCTGCCGTGACCAACAATATTTCTACATTTCATCCTATCTGTAGATGTGTGTGTGATTTATTTTTATATATTTCAAAACATTTTCACTACTTTAATTCCATTTAAAGCTACATGATCTTAATTTACTGCTGGAAAACCAATAAAAAATTTATATTAATTATAAATTAATGTAAATTAATTTAATTATTGCAGATATAAAATATTAAATATTAATACAGAATAAATTTAATAATTAAATTTAATTAAAAACAAACTACATTATAAACACAATGTTTTTCGTGGATTTATAGTGTGTGTGAACTGTGAGTGGTTTGCTGAGCAAAACAGAACTTTTAAATAATTTTGAAAAATCGCTAAATTTCCAAACAATTTCTAATAAATAATGCCGAGTGCTCAATTCAATTGAATGGCGATTTTTTATTAAAGTCAACCGAGGCTCACAGCTGCGGATCTGGGAAGTTTTAGCAAAATTTTTGTTATAGTGGTGATGCCTTTTTGTCCAACAATCTCTCTTTCTTAATAATTATTTTCAAAAATTGAATCTAAACAATGTATATTTGTATTATTTGTAACAATGTGGACAAGTAAACAACAATAATAATAAAAAAATAGAACCGTTAAGGCACATTAAGGACTTCTTATTGACATAGTCAAATCAAGTCTTTACAACAATAGAAGCCGTTTTTGGCAATTATTAGAAATTTAACAAACCATTGTTGTAAAGACTTGATTTGATTATGTCAATAAGGAGTCCTTAAGGTAAAATTGATAAAAAAAAATAGGTTCTGCACAAGTCGATAGTCGATAAGATTTTGTCAAAGCTTGACCCTCAATATAAAATAATTAATGCCGTTTTCTTCCTTTAATTTTCTGATATTTTTTTATTTTGCTGCATGTCATTATCTGACCCAGAATAATTAAATTGCAGTCAATTATATGATTTGTCAATAATTATTAATTACGCTTCAATTATAATAAATCACAAAATTAAAAGTTTTAATGAAAAAGTGATCTTCTTTAAAAAAGAAAATCATTTAAAAACACGCAACCTTTTACAAGAGCGCTATTTCCATCTCATTAATAGGTAGCCCGAAAAATAAATTAGGTTCACGCGTATCTTGTCAGCGAAATTACCTCCGCAAACCACCCATAGCCAAATGTGTACAACACCGTGAAATGTGCGCCCAGCACTTTTTTTTCACACAGACCGGGGCGACCTCGTCGCAGAGGGGCCAAAATGCAAATGAGGCGTTTAATGAATAATTTCGGCTCTCGCGCGAATGGAAATAATTATACATCTGCGGCTGGTCTCGCAATCAAGGCTTCTACATTTTCTTCTGCATATAAAGTCGACTGGCCAAAAAAGCTCCCCGCGTCGGTCGGACAGGTTTTAATCCTGCGGACGCCGCTTGAATCGCTAAGTGGCTCGGGTTTCGCCGCCGCCGCTCTTTAAAATGATTTGCCCCGACTGAGCGCCGTCGACTATTATCATCCGTCGTCGACGACGTCGCGCACACACGTGCAAAATTACGAGTCATATTTCACTGGCCCATCGCAACCAGCAGTTGTGTCTCTCCGAGAGTAGCTCTCGGATGCTATGCTGGTTGCATTTGCATATAGAAAATTTTACATCAGCTGTATAATATAGGGGCGGCAGTCTCAATGGTGGATTTTAATTCCAATTTCGTTAGTTTTTTATTTTCCATTTAATCCAATTAAAATGAGAAAAGCATTATTTGTTTTATATATATTTGATATTTGATTTTATTTTCAACTTTTATTTTTTGAAATTTCTTATTTAATGTCTTATCTGATATCAAAGGTTTGTCAAACAAAAGAAAATTTGAGAAAATACATACTTATTTTTAAATTTTTTAAGTTCAATTGTATTGGTCAAAAAGTTAAGTAAAAAAAGTAAAAACAAAATATATTTATGTCTTTTAAATAATTTTTACCATACAAGTACAGAATAAATTTGTAAAAAAAAAATATTTATATTAAATTTAAAACAATAAAATATTGATAAATTGAAATTTTATCAAAAAATTTAGCATTTTAATACGAATTATTAAAAATTAGATATAAATATAATTTTTAAACCTCAATTTTTGACGCAAAATTACGCAATGATAAATAATGCTCGCGAATAAAAGGATAAGCACGGCGCGCGTGTGACTTTGAAGCAGAGCCAGCAGAGAGCCTAATTTACATAATGTACGTACATTTCTCGCGGGCCATTCCTCATGTTTGCGCATCACTGCAGAAATTAAGTTATGACACGAGGAAGCCCTCTGGATTTTTTTCAGCCGTTGATAAATCCGCCTGCTCACTTGAACGGCAAATAAATCTGCGCTCATTAGTAATTGTCATCAGCATTGTCGCGGGATTAAGCAATGAGGCGGATTGTATGGACTCGTGACGAATTACGGCCTTGGCAACACACCAGGTCACGGAACATTTGCAATATGCGACTTAAGAATTCGCCAGTGTTGTTTGCAATCGAATAAAATTACCATGCTTACGATCAGAGACCACGAATGTTCGCAAATAGAAATGTGGGATTTTAGGAAAATGCTCAAACTCTGTAACTTAATAAAAAAAAAAAAAAAATCAGGGTCATGAAGATTTTCTAAGCGTTTCTTCGGTGCAATTTTCCAAATGACTTTTAGTTTGGTTCATAATTTATCTAATAAATTAGAAATTCAATAATATAATTATTTTAAAACCTTTATTCTTTTGTTGAAGGTTATATCAATTTTAAAAAGCATTTTTCTCAAAATGCAGTTTTGGAGATGTAATTTGTATGAAAATTTGTAACTTTATTTATGGTTCTTCTTTAACAGTTTAAAATTTTCCTGAATTAACAGGGGATGTTTAATTAGAAATTAAATAATATTTGGCAAAATGATGATATAAGAAGCAAACGTGAAGAGATTTTGATGACATCAAAAGAAGTTAAATTACAATGGAGTTTCAGTTTCATTGGCCAAATTGAAAGACAGAAAATATCTCCTTTTTCTGAACAACGCAAGACAAAATGTTTTGTAAAATTTATCAGAAATCTTCCAAGAAGAAATTTAACGTGGATTCGCACACAACTGGACACGAAAAAAATCAGAAAAAAATCCTCACTCACAATAGCAAATTGACACAAATCAGAAATCATTCATAAGAAATCAGATAATTTTTACAAACCAATTTTCAATTGCTAAAGATAACTCATAGTTTACTTAGGATGAATTTTAAAGCGAAGTGCAAAATTTTTCATATTCCTCCATAATTAAAAAAAGTAATTTAATTTCATATTAAAAAAGAAAAAAGAAGCTTTTGAATCACTTACTGTAAATTTTAAATTTTTGATCTAAATCTTTTGTTTTCATTTTGATACTTTTTATTTCAAGCAATTTGGAATGTTCAGTTTTTTTTTTTTAAGTTTACAATAGAAAAAAAATCTTCTCAGACTTTCAAGTCTGCAGGTGTTTAATCCTAAGCTGGGTAAATAAAATAAAAGGTTTCCTCTGCCTTTCTTCCAAGCTAGTTGCATTCGTTCAAATCCCTTTTTCTTCTGCTCAATGCAGAGCAAATCTCTCCACTTGTCTCCGTGGTGGTCCCTGGTCATCTCTTGGCCGCTGCACTCTCTCCTCTTTTTCTTGCTGCTGCGTCCTTTTGTTGCAAAATGCAAGGCGTGTTTGCACCTGCCTCGTCTCTGCTGTTTTTACAATTCTTTGTCTGTGTTCCGAGCATAAAAAAACTAACATGCGCGCACAACACAAAGGTGCAAACTCAGGTTATTATCCACCGACTGTACCTGCAGAATGCTCGCTGCGCCCACAGCAAAATAACTTATTATTTCAATTGCCCTGAAATAAAAAAAAACTTTCTGCCGCTTTTTACGACACAGTCGGCATGACTTTTGAGAAATGACAACTAATTGCAGGTGTTGCTTTCATTTCGAGCAGGATATCGCTGATTTTTCACTTTCGAAGCGGAAATGAACAAAAATTGTACCTGAAACTTCATAATCAATAATTTCCTCAGCTCAGGTATTATATTTTCTATTATGCTCGCCGTTCCGAACTTTAGGTACCTATATCGGTTTAATGACGTGCGGTGTATATATTTTTTTTGTCCGAATCTCGGCGCGCGTCGGGCTCTTTTGATGAA